CTAGCTCCTTTTTAATGGCTCATCATCATCAGACAGAATTGGAGCAATTGGAGCATCCGCTCTTGCATTCACTGTAACTGTGAGTAAGGGCTAAGGGTATGTCTAGAAACAGAGGATGACAGGAAGATGCGTTTACAGGGCAGGGCCCGGAAAGCTGATGGTTTGATCACAGGTGACTCCACAAAGTCACCCTCCCAAAGAAAGGCATGACATTCCTTGGGAAGAAGGCCAGAAGAGTCACAGCCAGCCCTTGCCACGATACCAACGTTTCTGTTCACTCCCAATTAATTGAGCAATTTTAGCTCAGAAAGGGAAGCACCGTATTACACAGCACCACCACTTTTCCACATCCCTGGGAAACCCTTATTCCACAAGCTGGGTACTAGGTCCAACCCTGCTACAAGCACTGAAGCTGTTGCCTGTGCCCAGCCTCGGGCTGGTCAGGACATCCCTCCAGGTCCAGCAGAACCTCGGTTTTGTCCTTATCTTTCAAGTCCTGTATGAGGCCCTAAAAAAAGCCCTGCTCCCTCCAGAGACCTGAGGAGCTGACCTTATTGAAGCTCTTGTCCTTCACTGCCCCATGGGTGTCAAAGCCAAAGAGGTGCCTTGAAGCACCATCCCATCACTGGGCTTTAAAACAAGCAAACCTTTATGTGGCACCTGCCTTTCTACAGGGATATATCTTTTGCCTCCCCCATTCTCCCTTTATGTATCATAGTAACCCTTGCCTTCCACATGCATTTTATAAGCCTTCCCAGCATTTTTAGAACAGCCTTATAAGACTCCAACGCCAGCCACAATTACTGCAGCTACTCCTATGAGAACCTTCTAAACTACACTGCTTATTTCAGGAAAAAACCCAACCCCCAAAAGCCCCCATCAACCCCATATTCCAAAACTCTCACACCACAAGCAAACCCCTCACCTCTTTGCTCTGGAGTCAGTAAAAACAGTCAAATGTTTCCCCTGGGCTCCTATTTAAGTCCTTCAGCTGGGAAGGGGGGAACTGTTGGTTGATTCCCAGCATCTGGGAGTCATTTCACCCCAGAGCAGGCTCAGCTGCTGTGTGATCCTTAAAGGACCCAATACATGGTGACACCCTCCTGCAGCTCCCTGCAACTGTCACCATCTACATCTTTTCTGTCCCCTGCAATACTCCTACAGTTCTCCCACCTACTGCCCAAACAATCCTTTTCCTTGTCGCCATAGCTCAGCCTTCTATCCTGTATTCAGTTTTGGGCCCTGCCCCAATACAAGACAGGCATTGAAAAACTGGAATAATTTCAGTGAAGAGCCACCAAGAGAGCTGGGGGCTGGAGCATTTGCTCTAAAAGAAGAGACAGGGGCATGTGGGCTCGTTCAGCCTGGTCCCCCCTGGCTTCAGGGGGAAGTAAGAGCAGCCTGCCAGTTAACAAGCAGGTTACTGAGCAGATGGAGCCAGGCTCCTCATGGTGGTGCATGGCTTGGAGATGAGACAGTTGCAAGAGGTTGAAACTGGATACAAGGAAAAACTTCTTTACAATGATGACAGTCAAACCGTGGGACAGGTAGCCCAGGGAGACTGGCCATGCACCACCCCTGGAGGTTTTCGATGCTAGACTGGATAAAGCCCTGAGCAACCTGTTAGGACCTCAGAACTGACCCTGCCAGGAGCAGGAGGTTAGACCAAAGTCCCTTCCAACCTGATCCAGCCTTCCTTCTTGTAGGGAAGAGGGTGAACCGGAATGATAGCCAAGTCCAGAGCTTCCTCCCCAGGTGGGCTGTGGGAAGCCTGCAGTCAACACCACCACCCTAGGATCATCCCATGGCAGCTAGAAAAGCCTTGTCAAACACTGTGAATGTCAAGGGAAAAAAGTAGGACAAAGGATTCAACTGAGTTGCGACAGTGACACGTGCCTGTGCTGGGGGAGGAGGAGGAAGCGGTGGAGCACACAAGTTAAATGGGCCAAGAGCCTGGACACAATAATGTATCCGCTGCATCACCAGCAGAGTGAAGCTGTGAGATGGAAATACATCCTTCCCCTCTGCCATGTGCATAGCCTGGTCACGGGAGGGTGCTCAGCTGTGAGCAATTGCTTCCTTTCAGTAAGAGCAACCATGCACAAATTTGATTCTTCCATTATTTTACCTGCTGAGGGGGACTGAGTGAGACCCAGGGAGCATAGGGCCCTCATTCTGCTGCAAGGGGCAGGTCTTGGCAGTAGCCAAGGTGCTGGGGCAGCTCCCACCCCAGCCTCTGCCCCTTCCCCCCCAGGGAGAGAAAAAGCTGCGAAGATGCTCATGTTATCTAATAGAAGACAGATCTCAAATGTATCATGACTCACTCACCTTTCAAAGCTGTCAAAAAAAACCAAAAACCAAACACAACACAACTTAAAAGGTGGAGGAAGGAAATCAAAGGGAAAATAGTGGCTGAAGGTTTGGTTTCTGGTTTGGTATGTGTCTGGGAAGGCAGCCAGACACAGATGGGAGCTCAGGCTGGACAGCCTGTGGCCACTGCCGCACTCCTACCCTGTCCCTGGCATCCATCGGCCCTGCTGGGAATGTGAGCACAGCACTCTGAAACCAAGAGCAAATGGACACAGCACCAGCAAAGCATCACTGCCGTCTCGGTTAACTGGAGCCATGTGCCCACTCAGCCAGAAGGACGGACTGCGACAGAAGCCGTTTTGCTTGGTGTAGCACTGCCTCTCTTGGTCTCTCCTGGAGAGGAAGTTTTGGGAAGTTTCCCTGACTGGGGGAAATTGTTTCTTCAAAGGAGTTGACTCCCATTCTCCACTTCCCCAGCACAGGTGGAGGAGATGGCAGTTGGGTCTGTAGACGTACAGAGGTGTTTTTATTTGCTGTTTGCACTGAAAGAGCAAAATACAGGATGGTTATCAAATAGTGAACTCTTGTAGTTTCTGTTCTCTTGTGATCTGTCCTTGTTATCTAAGCCTCCAGATTAAAAAGGATTAGATACGAGAATGTGCTGTGAGATTTTTGGAGTCACTGAGGGCCATCTCAGGTGTAAGGATGTCCCATAACCCCTCCCTCATTAAAATGTCACTTTCCATCTTAAAAATGGGGTCTTTTTGCTCCTGTGCTCTGAATATGGTGCAGGTCCAGAGCCACGCAACGTAACAGGATCATCGCAGCATAACTCAGGTAGAAGAGGACAGGCAGAGGTCATCCTGCTCCAAGCTGGAGGATTGATGAGGAAGGTCCTCCCACTTTCCCAACATGTCCTTCATGACCACTTGTCCTTGTGCAGGAGATGCTTCTTGCTCCCCTCACTCTTGTCCATGTTCTGGATGTCTTGCTGTTCAGTTTACTAATGCAACGTCTGAATTTGAAACCAAACAAGTCACTTCCCCTGGCTCTACAACCTGGGACACAGAGAGGGTTAGTTGGCTTCCAAGAAGAGGTGGCAGATTTTGTAAGAATCCAGTAGGCTGGGATGAGAAAAATGTCAGTATCAGACAGCTGGTGCAAGAGAAGCTCCAAACTAGCCAACGTGGAGTTTTGCCTGAGCGGTTCAACCACTGGCTGGCTGCCACCTGCACGCTGCCTGTAAAGTTACCAAATGACAAAGGATTTGTCAGAATTGTCATCGCAAATGTGAATTATCAGAAGAGAAGCCAGCATTAGTTGTGCTGAGCACATTGCTAAGGCCTCTCTTCTTAGGCATTGCGCCCCAATTGAGTTTAAAGCATGGATTGTGGCACGATAGGCAGACACTCAAGCTCTGTCCAAACAAGGTCCGGAGGTTTAGATGCTCAGCATTTAGGTGCTTGCAAAATATGTTGGCCCCTGAGGCTCACGATAAAATCTAAAGCTCCCTTTGAAAGTTAAGTGTTTAACATGAAGGAGCTGGCGTCCTATAGATCTGCTGCCAATGTTTTAACAAGGGGAGGCCACAAGTATTTCCCTGTGTGAATTTTGCACAGTGAATGGGGAGAGGCTATAGAATTCATTTTCTCATGTTTGCACAAAGAAGGATTTTCCAGCCAACATCAAGAAGAGAGAGGATAGCAGTGTGAAACGTAAAGAAAGGAATAAAGTCTGTGTGTATTAAAAATTGTAAATAAATAGAAATACTTGTGTGTAGAACAACAAGGTCTGCGTATGATTCAGGGAGAGTTCATCCTAGAGGTGGGGAGGGGAAGCCCACAGCTCTTCTCCTCCAGGGAATTTTTTTTTTGGTGATTATTGACACTTTATACAATCTGGCGCTCTTCTAAATATAATTTTATTAGCATGAGAAGCCACTTGGCAGCAGGAAACTAATGCTGGTGAGTTCACAGTTTTCAAGACAAAGCGTTCTCTTAGAAGCAAGAAGAAAGACTGATTTGGAAAGAAGAGCCTTGCAGCTTCTGCCTAAAACCAGCCTCCACCTGCCATCTTCTTGTTGCAGGCTTAAATGGAGCAATATTCCCTAGCCTCAGCTTGTTTGTCTCTGGTTTCCAAAGGAGATGAGGCATATGCAGTCACGCTGTTCACCAGATCTCCTGTCACCCTCCCACAATAACCTCTGAGAGAGGAAGGAACATGTCTACGGAGGCTGGGTAAAGAATAAAGGCACCCGCTGTCACCCACTCCCTGGGATGGGGAGAGTTGGGCAGGAGCCCACGAGCGGTTGCGCTGCTTGGCTGCCCGGCAAGCGTGTGCCAAGTTGTCAGGAGGGACACAGGACAGAAGGGCTGCTGGGGACAGGAGGACACAGCCCACGGGAGCCGTGGGAACAGCCACTCCAGCACAGGGAGCGCCTTGCTTCCCGGGAGGAGGGTGATGTAATAGCACAGTGGAGCGAAGCCACGCATTAGGCTCTAGCACGGCTGTATCAAAGCGCTTTTCTGGGTATTACGGAAAAAGGAATCCAGCCAAAGAGTCGTGCTGAGTTTTATTTTATTGAGCAGAGACGGCGGAGATGAGGGCAAGCTGCTCCCGTGTCTGCACACAGGCGGCTGCGGCTGTTGCTGCCGGGGGTGCGGCTGTTGCTGCTCTGTGACGGTGAGGACTCAGCATTTCCCCAGGTGCTTCAATCTTATTTTCCCTCCACTTCTCCTGTAAAAGGAGCAAGTCAGACTTAGACAAAGCAGTGTATGACAGACACAGCAGTGTGGGACAGGGAGCTCATCCGTCCGAACAGGACCATTTGCCTGATTCATGCTGGCGTACTCTGGTGCCTCACAGGGAACATCAAGCCATTTTCTCCTCTCCTTGCTCTTCTCTGATTTCCCCTAGGATAAGGCAGCCTTGAGCATGCACCAAATGTTAAGGACTGCTAAGGAAAAAAGGATGTTTTGCAAGCACGTTCAGTCCAGGGGTGCTGGCTCCTATTGCATCTCTTTTAAAAGGTGACAAAGCTCAGGAAGAGGAGAAACTCAGGCTCTTCCTCTGAGATTTTGTGTCTTGTTCCACAAAGTCCATTCAGACTTTTCAGGAATAATTTGGCACGGCTCAGCTCCCGCATTCCTCCAGACACTTCTCGGTATCCAGAAGTGTGGGCAGTGAGAGTTGCAGCCTGTAGCATATAGTGGGAAATGTGCATCAATTTGGTGCGTGCAGAAGGTACAGGCAGGATGCAATTGCCTCCCAGGCCTCGTGCTGCCTCTGAGCATGGCAACAAGCAGCATGCAAAGCCTAGAAATAAATTAAAATTAACTTGCATTCACACAGCTCCATTCCAAAGAGGAAATATTCCGCTTGGCACGATTCAGGGGCTGGTCCATACAAGAGGAGCAGCCTGGATGCAGGGCCTCCCCTCCATGAAGAATATCATTACATATGTGGAAATGGAGCCAACTCTCTCTGTTATTTCGATCCCCTCTGCTTTCACTTACAGCACTGCCTTGCAGAAGGCGCACTTGTTTCCGTACGTGATGCCATCCGTGCCGCAGTGAGGGTTGGACTCCCTTGTGCAGAACACGGTTCTATTTACAAACTCTCTACAAATCTGCAAAAGGAATAAAAAGAAACCCCTTTCAGGACTCCCATACTCTTTCCTTCACTTTCCAAATTGGATACAATGTCACTAATATAATGCTTTTTCTGACAAAATGACCAAAGGGGCAGTGATGACACCGCCTATTTACTGAAAGAAAAAAGCCCTGTCAGAAATGAGCAGAAGCAGTTTTTGGGGGGGGGGGGGGTTCACCCACATTTGAGGAGGGAAACTGTAGTCACCTAGGAGAAGTCTTGATCTCCCAAAGACAGGAGTGGATTAGCCTAGGCACGTAGGAGAAGAGTCAGCACTGATTTTCTTTCAGACATTTGGTGCCAAGTTAGCTCACTGCTGCATGGCTTCATGCATCTTGCAACACTGTGCACTCAGCTTGGTGCCTGCTGAGCTTTCTGCCTTCGCAGCGGAAGGAGGAGAAAATCTTAGTCTATGGGGAATTAAAAATGGTGTCCAGGAAATGTACAGGTATTTTGTCTCTGGACAAGCCCCAGTGATGGACCTTGTTTGGGGGAGGTAAAACACTCTTAATAGTCCATTTGTTTCATGAGAAGATTGGACAGCGGAGCAAAGTGGATAAAAGTGGCGCTGCATACAAACACAACCCTGTGCAAACACCCTAGACCTAATCACGGGAAGCATTTGCTAAACCAACCATCTATTTCCCTGGCCTACTTGCTAATGTGGCCACACATAACATCCCCTGTACAACGGTGAACTCCCCAAAGTGTTGGGACTTCTTGGAAGGACCCACCTGCTCCCAGCAGACATTAAAAACTGTTTACCATGCACCAGGATCTTGGTTACAAAACCATTCCTCTAGAAAATGCACAGTCAGTAAGCAGAAACAGCTGCACTAACCTCTTCAATGTCTTGACCTGCTACATCTGGAATAAAAAAAAAAAAACAACAAACACAGATTTTACATATCAGCATTATTTTCTGACAGAGGCTGAACTAAAGTCACAAACCCTTTATACAAACCACAATGAAACATACACCAGGTTTTTCCTACTCCATCATCCTATGCGGTGGAGGAGGGGGCAGGAAATACGTTATCTGAATTGCTTTTCAGTATTTTGCTTTTTTGAAAAATGTTACTAAAATACCATGTAATCAGTCATTCAGCTGCTAACTGCACCTCAGACACATAACCCAATCTCCTGGAAGGCAGCCACTCCCGGGGAAGCGAGCTGCCATATCGGATCTGGAGCCGCGCTCAACAGAGATTTTAAAGCTATATTGACTTTTAAGGCTTTTAGGGTCCTGCACATCTGAATGACGAAAATGGCTGGTACTGCTAACAAGTAACCATGGAGAAGGAGACCCCATGGTCAGCTTTACAGCCAGCCTCAGCGCAGCACAGCCCAGAGACTCTCCCAGAGCAAGTTCATCCCGGCCAAATACAAAGAGACAGCATGGGGTGATACAGAGCAGAACAGGCAGTGCAGGTCAGTAAGAGTGCAAAAATACCCGCTGTAACCACAGGCTCGGGGCCTGAAGCTAATCAGTCCATCCTCTTAATATTTCTTCACTGCAAAGATTGCAGTCAGGCGCGTAGCTTGAGCCATAGCTGTGGGACAGGGCGACCCTGCAACGTCTCTAAGGGGGAGCCCGACACTCAAGGGTGGCTTGAATGCAGATTTGCAGAATCTGGGTCACAACACTGTGGGACAAATACCCAGCATCTCGCACAGCAGCGGGGCAGCAGAGATTTGGATGTGAGGCTGTACCTGCTGGGTCAGTGGGGTCACGGCCGGCTGCGACGCTGCTCAGGTGGGTCTGGGCAGGAGGGAACCTGGGGCAGGAGGTGGGAGGACCCTGTCCTACACGCAGGCACCCACACGTTGGAAATCCCACCCAACTCTCAGTCAGCTAGACCATCATCCATCAACCCATCCTAGTTTTTCTGCCAATTGTATTGCCCTTCGGTGTTTTTTATCCCTGGCACTGGTATATTTATCATGACCTCAGGTCAGGCTAGGCTGCCTTAATTGTAAAGTCACTGTTATGGCTATCTGTATAGTATTTACAAAACAGCTCATTAGATAGTTTTTATAAATATTACATGTGGCTACAGAAGACTTTATGATGATGTCTCTTGACATCTGTTTATTTTATAGGAGATCACAGAGTTTGCTGCTGTTCTGCCTGGCCTTGGAAGGAAGCTTCAGCACTCTGACAGAACCCAGTCCCAATTAAGACTCAATTAGAGACAGATGAATATTTCATAATGAATAATGTGTACAAAGTAATTCACCTCTTTTCTCCATGCACAGCTTGCAATTTTCTCAAGTGAATTCTTTATTCAAATTATTCACAGAAAAACAAGTATAAATAATTCTTGTTCTGCACATTCTTCAATAACTGTCGCCACAAACCTTGCAGAGCTGGGTCAGCTGGACACAAGCAATTGATAACACTGATGTGACCTATATGTTCAAAAATCATCACTCAGCTTCCCCAGATCATCAGAAAGATGTGTAAATCTCCAGATAAATACATGCTGGATCCTTTTAATTTGCCCTCTTTGTTCTGACTCCTTGAGGACATTTGAATTTAATTTTCAAGCTTTTCTCTGCAACATAAATGAAAGCTGAAACTTTCATCTAATTACGTTTCCACATCTCCAAGGACAACACCAAATACCAAGATGCTTAGGATCAAAACAAGTGCTGATGACCCTGAGGTGAGTGAGTTTCTTCTCTAACTGGTTCAGCAAAACTCTCCAGCGAACACTTGTACCAAAAATTCATAATTACACTCTGCTTTGGTACATTTGCTGAAAGAGCTGCTTAGAATTTGCTCGTTCTGTCTCCCAGTGACACCTCCGCTGCGTTATTCACTGCGGAGGCACACGAGGAGTGGAAATATGTCATATGAGTGAGCAAGTCCCGCAGATATTTTCTACTTGCTCAGCTTTATCTTCAAGCCTGTCATCCGGTGATCAAGGCTCTCCAAAGTTTGCTGTTGTCAGGAAAGGTTTGGGGTTTGGTTTGGTTTTTTTTTCTATGCTAGGGAAAAGATCACTTACCCGAGAAGAAAGAGAGCAGCAGCAGGCTGAGAAGCACTAAGGCACCTGTTGCCTTCATGCTGCAGGTAGCTCTTTAGTCCAAGCCAAGCGATCTGTGCGGGAGGTGTTGTCTCAGCACCGGAGCCCACAGTGCGCACACAGACCTGCCTTTCTGTGTATTTATGCACCCATCTGTAGCTGTCCTCATTCCCCACCTTAATTGTGAGAACTTCTCCACTTTGCTTCTAAAGCCATTATTGGTCCTGGCTGTGTTTATGGTGCTTTAGGAATGCTGCCCTGTCCACATCAAACCTAGAAAGGGCTAATTATATGAGTGATAGACGGGCTTGTAATTTCTTTTTTTTTTTTTTTTTCTAAATAGTCACAGGATTCTCACAAGGGTGAATTTTCAAAGCGGTGATTCATCGGGGAAGCTGGTAATTTTCATTCTCTGGGCCCTTGCTGAATGCCAGCGCCGAGGCTTTGAGTGCGGCGTGATGACACTCACTAGACGTTACGAAATAAATCACAGCATGAGAATGTGTTGTCTGTGAAACCAATTATACGTTGTTCCCTGGCTATTTTTGAGGATGGTTCTAAATTTGTTGGGTTGGGGTGGAGAAGCGCTCCGATGTGACATGCTCTCATAGCTGTGTGCACAGTCCCAGATAGGACTGCTGACTCTCCTCCCTGAACTATTTAAACTCTAGCTGTCAATGTTTTCCAGTTTTTCGCATTCACAAACATATGTTAGGGCTCCGCTCCCACAGCGAGTGACAATGACAGGAATTTGATGGGGAATTGGGAGACCTGAGCTCTATTTCCAGCTGAGCCTGTGCAAGGATTTGTTCAGCTGCACCATTTGCAAAGTATCTGTTCAGATACGAATAAGCTTAAAATTTTAGTATGCTTTCCTAAGGAGACAAGGCTTAGGAGACCAATGTGTATAGATATATCTGTTTATTAGTTCCCCCAGTTGAATCTGCAACTAGATCCAACCAAATTTGACATAGGAGCAAAAAAACCTTAAAAATAATAAAAACATTTTTATACATATGTCTAGCAACAGAAGAAAGATGCTACTAATGTTCTCAGCCAGCAAGGGAGAGAGCTTCTGCAGGACAGCAATGTTATGAATACCCTACATCTGGGGAAGCATTAGAGTTTGCAGCTTGCTAGACATCTTAAAATCCACACAGCAGAGAAACTGTGACTGACAGGTGAATTCTCAGATGTCTATTAAGGGTGAGCTCACGATGCAGCCTCTCATATAATTTAGTTATCAAGTCAGTCAGCCGCAGCGCCGTTCAAAACCACGCTTAGTTCTGCCACTCACAGCACTACTTGTTTGCCTTTTCTAGTTTCATACGTCACTGCTTACGACCACAGCCTTAATGCCTCAGTTCTTTATCTACCCAAACATTTCGGTTGCTGCAGCATAACTGGCTGGCTAAAGCCTCAGCAAATGTACCGCAGGGACCAATCCCTTCCAGGCTGAGGAGAGGAAGACACTAAATTACCAACCAGGTGATTATCATTATTACCCCTTTCCACTTCTTTATAACATCTGAAACAGGGCACTTGCTGGTGTAGGTGAGGAAATTCTTCTGTCTCTCTGAAAATCAGGGGTACAAGAAGGGCACCTGGACCTTGCTTTGCAGTCTAAGGGGTGTAGCTGGGTAAAGTCTTGCTGGTGCCAAGCCAAATACTTATCTGTGCTGGGTCAGTCTTTAGTCTTATGTGACACAAACCTTTCCATCTTCTAAACAGCTCTTGCTTAGAGGCTCGCAAGGCATCTAGGATACAGCCACATACCCAGTACTTGCCATCTGCCCTCCTTTTCCCTTTAGGTGAGCAGCTCTTCTTTGGGCTTTTCCAAAGCCTTCTGAGCTCCTAAGCAAGTGTCTGGCTTCCTCAGGCAGAACCCACCACTGCAGAGAAGGCTTACAGTAGGATCTTGCCGTTGAAGACAATTTCCTGCCATGGCCAAAACTCCACTAGTCTGTAGCCACTCTATAAACCTCTTGGCCAACAAGAAATTATAGCAGAGCTCTGTCCTGTGCTGACAGGTCTCTGTTCACATCCACTAGCTACTTAGACTGTTCCTTAATTATTTTTCACACACACACAAGCAGATAAGCAGTGAGAACTCTCATGACTCTCCAGGTTGTCTTTTCTTAAGAGCAGGCACAAAGGCATGACGTGATTTATATCGCCTGTACTAACAGAAAAAAAACCCCTGAGAATAAGAAGTTCAATCCCTCTTCCCAGGACAGAGAACTGCTCTGTGCTAGTACTAGGGGAAGGACAAGCCTCTTATCTTCTGGTGGGAAGCACCTACAAAATTCCTGCTCAAGAAATTATCTACTTCAGGAAATGAGACCCAAATGAAAAGGCTTGGAAGTCACAGGTTTTGTCCTATGTATCAGCCCTGGCAGCAGATATTCTTGCTGCATAACAAGAGAATGGAATGTGGAGAAAGAAAGAGGAAGGGAGTGTGTGAGCCATGGTGCTAGGGACTTTTTGCCTGTGCTGTTTGCATATTAACTCCTTGACTCACCCCAAAAGATGGCACATCATCATGAACATTCATATATATCATTGCTCCTCCAGTGTACTCTTTAGGCTCCCACAAAGATGCTATCTCCATACCTTTTTTCCCTAGACAGAAAGCATCTTGGACCTACCAGCACCTCATCTGGCCCTTCTTTCCTGGGATTAGAGAATCCAAGACCTTTTCCTGAAGGGTCTCCTGTCCTACCTCTGCCTCAAATACCCCAAGTACAACTTTTCAGATCTTGTCTCCAAGAAGCTCAAAGCCTGAGCCCAGTCTAATTTGTCCTCGGGTTCTCATTAGGCTCATTACAGCCTTGCCTAGCTTGCTGCAATTTTCTGCTGATCAACACAGTCTCGACAGACACACCCTTCAAGGAAGCAGCAGTTCCTAATTTTCTTCCCTATGAGATAGCCTCCTCCCTTTGCCATAAGCCTCCTTTTTACAATGCACTGCCAGACCTGCCCCTTGCCCAGGTGTGACCAGGTAGGGCTGACCACGGCCACCTTTCTCTTTCACACTTCCCCAGGGCCATTCCCCCACACCAGGGCCCCTAAAAGAACCAGTTCCTCGAAGGCAAAGACACATCCATTTAGACTCTATAAGACACTGAAATTAGGAGAGTGGCAGTTTTTTATAGCAGCTTGGTTTCTCTTCTGATGGTTTGGTATGGAGTGACGTACTCTTGTGAGGGCTTGGGCTGGTGTGTGATGGGTGTTACGCTTTGCTCTTTATTGTGGTTTATTTCACAACTTCTCCTGCCTGACAGATAAGTACCTAAAAGCCTGAAGACCATTACCTCTGCCCTGAAAAAAAAAACCAAACCACCAAACCCCAAAACCAGTCCATGGCAAAGAGAGTGGCTGTGTTTAGTTTATTGATCAATCAAAGCAGAGACCAATGTGCAACAGTTGAGGGAGCAGAGAAGAGCGTGTTTGCAGGACTTGTAAGGGAAAAATCAGAGTGAAGGGTATGGCTCCAGCGCTCAGCATTCACCACGGTGTTTCAAGAACAGAGCTCCCTGGCTCCGCCTGAAGAGGAAGAGGGAGACCAAAATTACAGACATGGATCTCAGTTTTATAGTCTAACTTCACCCAAATAAGCCAATGCTCTCGTGCTCTCCAAGTTATAAAGTACTTCTTTTAATGTTTCACCTCTTTCCTGATTCCCCAGGTTACATGCTTTCTCACATTAAAGAGATTTGGGACAAACCCCATAATTTTGGACACCTCCTACGGTCACACTTTAAAATGATCTGGCAGGGAGGGAGTCAGCAATGCTAGGAGCCTGCAAATGGGAATCTGGATTTAATTGCGAGGGAAGGAGAAGACTCACTCAGGCTTAAGATCTGCAGTGCCTGGGGGGTGGCGGAGGAGTGAGTGTCAGGAGAGGAACATGGAGCAGGGATGGATTTACCGAGGGGCTAACAGGAGCTGTGGGGCTTCCACACCAGCTGCTGCTGCTGCGTGTGCTCCAGCTCCTCTGGTTTCATGGCTACATGGTGAGCTCCATACTTACGAAAATGCGCTGCAGAACTGGCACTTGTTTCCGTAAGTTTTGCCATCGGAGCCACAAAGGGGCTTATAGTCAGCGGTGCAGATGAGATTGTTACCCAGCTGATCGCTGCAGTCAACCTGCTAATAATGGAGCAACAACACATTTCTAAGCTTTTGTTCCTCGTATTTTCCTACATGAGTGTTTTATGTTTATTTAATGTTTATGACATGCCAAAGCATAAACTCTCTTTTCAGGTGCGGGGCTCTGTTGTTCTAGCAACTCTGCAAACTCAGAGGCAGAGAACGTGCTTGCCTGGAGCAGCCTGAACTGAGGAGAAGGCGGGACCAAAAAAATCTAATAAATACTATTATAAATAGTGAAATGACCATGGTGATATTTCCAGGCTGGCCCTCCCACTGGCTGCTCTGGTTCAGCAGGCTAGCAGAGGCAGGCATACAGAAAGTGGATGGTCACGAGCCATGCTGCAGAAAAGTATTCCCACCTGAAGAATCACCACTACTAATAGCGCTGGTAGTATATGACCCTCCTGCTCTCCCGCAGAAGGTATGAGGCAGCATCTCTTGCTCAGCCCCTTTCCCAGTAACTGAAGGTCTCAGCATTCACTGACTGCTGTGTTCCCAGGTCAGAGGGCAGACTGCGTATCTGAGTCATGGATTTGGTTCAATCCCCTTTGACCCTAGCATACTTTAACTATGTTTCTCAAATCCTATTTCCAGGCCAAATGTACCACGACAGTGCAGGCGTTTCTATTATTTAGTTACGATTCAGTGAATTTGTGTTGTACAATGTACTGTAACAGAAATTAAGAGTGCAGATTGTGCGCTTTACCTCTAAGCATTCTCCCTTGTGCCTCAGGTCTATGTCCAGTCCATTCCTTTGGGAAAAAAGCGAGTTGAGAATGAATGAGCACAGCGCAGCCACTTCACAAGTCAAACTACCTCCTTATGCTCTAAATACCAACGTGAGCACCTACGGATCCAGAAACCCCTCCCGTGACCCAGCCCCTTCACTTACACCACAGCATTGCAGAAGCTGCACTTGTTTGGGTAGGTAATCCCATCGGTGCCGCAGATGGGCATGTACTCCAGGGTGCAGGGGACCGCACCACCGCTTGATCTCAGGTAGCCAGTGCAGTCAAGCTGAAACAGTCACAGAACAACATTTTAATCTCTGCTCCCCTTTGCATCAGTCCTGTGCAACAGAGCGTGGTGCAAGAGACATCCCCCCCTCTCCCTGGGTCTGCACGGGAGAGGAGCTCCCAGCCCCAGCGTGGTGGCATTGATGTAACACAAACAGTTGAAATCTTGCGATGGGTACAGCATGATCCTGGAGTATCTGTTTTTTCCTGTCCTGAAGCAGGCTTCATCCCTGCCATCTTGGGGATTTTCACCATGAATGCCACCAAGAAGGATCTTTGCCTAAAATGCCTTATGCAGCAGCAACTTTTGCTGCGAAATGTCAATGCCACTTTAAAATGGAGTTTATGCTCACCTCGGCGTTTCTGCAGTTACTCTGAGTGTACTGAAATGGAGTTTGTTGTATTTTGTTAAATTGCACAGCCAGAGTGTTTCTTTACTTTCTCTAACCTAAAAATAGAGATACTTCTCCACGGTAGCTCCATATATTGGTAAACAAACTTTATGTTAAATGTTCTGATAGAATTGTTTTTTCTGTTAGAAAATCCAAACTTCCTCTGGGAATTTCTTAGCTTCAGCAAGCTTCTAAGTCTAAGTCTAAAGAGAAGTGTTTTGATAACACAGAACCATTATAGAAATCAAAAGTTTCCATTCTTAAGTCTGGTGTTATACACAAAATAACATTTAAAAACTCATAGTTCAAACAAAATTTAAAAGAAATTCTTGCAAATCTGAAATTCTTCATTTTCATTCCATTTCTGACAGTTTGGAATTCTGTGGGTTTAGTACAGAATTAATCCTAGGCAAGGTTTCTGTCTAGCTCTCTTTTACCCACCACTGCTCAGCGCAGCAGAAGGAACCAATCTCAGACCATACCTTAACACATTTTCCATCGTGCTTCTTGTCGATGGCTTGGTTTCGGCTACAGGGAGAGAGAGAGAGAGAAGGAAAGGAAGGATTAATCTGTTCATACCATGTCATCTCACTCATAAAGCCCCAGTAATTAATCATTCAGGAGCTTTGACACGGAAGATCACGGGCATTAGGGAAGACAGAAACTTAGGAAAAATCTAGTCCACCCCATGATTAGTCACAACCCCAAAGGCTTTTGTCTGGTGCTTGAACTGGCATTGTAGGTAATCAGGAGACCTGGTACTCACAGGATTTCATTGCAGAGGGAGCACTCGTTGGAGTAGGTCACGTTGTCAGTCCCGCAGACGGGTTCATAGTTGCGGGTACAAGCAAGCTGGTTTTTTTCAGACAACATGTACCTGCCGCAGGAGGCCTGTTAAAGACAACTTGTCATTTCTCCAAATGGAGAGAAGGGTATGCTTGTGTTAATCATGTTTTTGCTGCGTTGGGAGACTACTGTTGGTAATTTTTTTTCCCTATTGTTCCTCCATGGTGAAGAAGAGAGGGAACAAAATATACCATGTTTCCTACAGCATACAAAAGCACCTTTTTGCTATTAATTAAGACTTTCAGTACTTTCGGCAAGAATTGCAGGCAAAAATGATCATTCCTTGGGAAATCAAGACAGGGAAGATATTTAGGCAGTTATTCAATAGTTGTGTAGATTTTCTGCTGGCACTCTGTGGTGTGCTGACTCACTCTACGTTATTAATTACAGTCTTTTTTATCATCAGTATGGTAAGTTATCTTTCTCTGACAATGGTATTTTCTTACTTTGGGGAAGAGAGGTGGTATAATACTTAGGGGCTTTTTCCTTCTTGCTTTCTTGCTCATTTTCCTTTTTTTCCTCCCTCAAGCCTTCCTTGGGATACAGTGTGAGTATGAATTATTCATCGAGACTTAGAAATCAAGACTAAGTGACAAAGAAGATCTACTACTCACCCGTTTTTGAGCAATAACAATATCTACAATAAAAACAGAGATTATAAAATATAAAAATTGTACAATGTCCTTGACTAAAATTCCTTTGGAATCATCAATTTCCCAACAGAGTAAGCAAATACACTTTTTCATTACTGAGAAGTGATTGTTTTCCCAAATGTTTTATCTACTCCAAGTAAACAAGAAGTTATATACTAAGATTAAAAAAATCAATTCTTTGTGAAACTGGAAATTTTGGCTGACTAAAGAAGAAATAGGACATAAACGTTCTCCTTTTGCAGCACTATTATCCCCACCAAGGCTCATAAGCTTAAATCAGACAAATGCATCCTACCAATCTATAGTATTTATCTGCACAAGGATAAAGTTCATTAAAAGAGAGCCTGCGTATTAATAAATCATCACATTTCCAAAGGGCTGAACTCTCCTTTAGGATGTATATATAAAGGCAAATGTTCAGGAGGACTGGAGATACTAGCACAGACTGTAACAAAAACAACTTACCAGAAAGGCAGCTGAGAAGCACAAGCCCAAGAAGGGCAACGCTTCTTGTTGTCTTCATAGCAGAGATGGTTGTATAGCCTGTTACTTGCAAATCTGTCACTGTTGAGTTCAGTAGGTGGTTCTCAGCCTTCTCTATCCACACTGTATATATACATCTCCCTGACCTTGTGAAGTCATCCCAGAAAGTAATTATTTGCTCTGTAAACTAAGAAAATTGTATTGATTATTGAGTTGAGCTCTAAAGAATACTTGTTTGTTAGAGATGCCCAGAAGAATTAAACAAAAATCTGAGCTACACCCAGCTTGTTAACAAAGGCGCCCTGCTGTACAAAGAATGATTTGTACTTTCCAAACAAGAGCACTGTCTCAATAGCAGATGTTGTGAAATTACATATAGAAGTCGGTAAAGCAAAAAAAGCCCATTTGTTGACAGCATTTGAACTTGCGCACACCATATTACATACACTAAACGGTCTTTGGGCTCCAGGAGATTTGCGTGGTACAGCAGAGTGGGGGGGAGCACAGCAGCAAGGGACACTCTAAGCTTTTACAGGTATAAAATCTGGGGTTTGGCAGACGTCGGTGTACTTTAAAGATACTGAGGGCTCAATGAATCCACACTCTCTCCTGTAGTTTTCTGGTACACTGGATTTCTCACCAAAATGAAGGAAACAGTCATCACAACAGGAAAGCATTACCTAAAACTTCAGAAGTTTATAGGACGTTTCTGTGTAGGAGCAAGAAGTATTCATCTGTTGGCAATGTGTATGAGTCTGATTAAAAAATGCTGAGAATAAATAGCCTTAAGTCTGGACTGGGATAATGTCTCCTCTTAATGGCACACAAGGGGTATTCTGTGCAGGTGAAATGGGCTTCTTTAAACCAAAGGCATTCAAGAAAAATTTGCAGCAGCTGCAAACAGAAGGTGAGTCCTTAGGCTCCCCCCTTCCCCCTCTATTGTATGGCATTAAATTTAGAATGTCATCTGAAAGTCGTGTTTTAGGGAAGATAATTGAAGAATAACATGCTAGGCTCTGTTAAGTGATTCAACTCTACTGCAGGGGTATGGAAAACCAAATAAGGAATATCGCATAAAATAATACATTTTTGATTTAAGGTAGTCACGGAAGGAATTGAAGGGTGGAACATGTTTGTGCTTTAGAGGAAGCTTGATTCATACATGTGGCTTAAAGGCAGCCTGAGTTTTAAATAGAAAATCAGAATTGTTTTTCTTATTATCATGGGAGATGTTCAAGTCTTGGCAAGGGCAGATAAATCATAAAAATGTAGTTGAAAGTGTAAGGCAGTTGTAGTCACAGAATAGAGCTTGCAGGATTTGGCCTGTTAGAATCATAGAATGGTTTGGGCTGGGAGGGACCTTAAAGCTCATCTAGTTCCAAGCCCCCTGCCATGGGCAGGGACACCTTCCACCAGACCAGGTTGCTCAAAGCCCCATCCAACCTGGCCTGCAACACTGCCAGGGATGGGGCATCCGCAGCCTCTCTGGGCAACCTGTTCCAGTGCCTCACCACCCTCACAGTGAAGAATTTCTTCCTTATATCTAATTTAAATCTACCCTCTTTCAGTTTAAAGCCATTACCCCTTGTCCTATTGCTACATGCCCTTGTAAAAAGTCCCTCTCCAGGTTTCTTGTAGACTCCCTTCAGGTACTGGAAGGCCGCTATAAGGTCTCCCCGGAGCCTTCTCTCCTCCAGGCTGAACATCCCCAACTCTCTCAGCCTGTCCTCCAGCCCCAGGGTTGGAGGTGCTCCAGCCCCCTGGTCATCTTTGTGGCCCTCCTCTGGACTCACTCCAACAGGTCCCTGTCCTTCTTACGTTGGGGGTCCCAGAGCTGAATGCAATACTCGCAGTACTGTTCGTATCAATGAAATAATTTTCCTGACAAATAAATGAGTAATGCTATTTGGATCTTATTCACAAATACCAGAAGTTGAAGGATTCCTTTGAAAGCTGTTTCTGTTGTATTCTTAGCATCCTGACTGACTGTCAGATTCCTTGAACTGATTATGAGCATATTTGGAAGGGAAGCAGTAATCACAGAAGCATTAATATTGATTATTCTCCAGGGGCAAGAATGCCAAAGCCTGAAAATCCTCAGAACTTGCACTAGCTGCCAGTAGAGATGGCACTTGCTGGTTCTGCAGTGGTTAGTGAGGCTACAGGAACATAGTCCGTCTCCTCTTCAGCTCTGCAACCTGAGCTTTTCCATATCCACCTCCAGACCTGAAATCCCCAGTTACCAGAAACTGTGCTACTTCTCCAGTTGCCTCTCCTGCCAGGCTGAAATCACACTGGTTGCTCAGGAGCTGTTGTGAATAGCAGAGTATCTGCTAGGGAGCTGCATCGTTCTCCTGTTTGGCCCTTTGACTAATTAGATCCACTGGGGAGATCCCCCTCTGATTGACGTACTGCTTCTGAGGATGGGAGTAGCCACCCAGGACTGCTCCAAAAGTAGCTCTTTTCCTCCAATAATCCCTGCCACTTCACCAGGCAGCAGGGAGAAAAAGGGAAGCAAGGAAAGAGTCTTCCTTATAGGGTCTATGAGAAAGGATGGGTGATAATTGGTAGCAGTCAGGGCAGGGCAGCAAGAGCTGCTGGGCTAGGTGTGACGTGGGATTGCACAAGGGAGCTCCATTAATAAGAAACAGAGGGAATGGGACAGAAATAATTGTGGGGCAGCAGACAGGTTGAAAACAGGCATTAGGAGCAGTCAAAAAAAACCTGTCTCCATGTATTTGGAAGAGTGAGCTTTGGGAAATGTCATACACATGTTGTAAATGAGAAGGGCAAAGTGAACTCACCTGCCAAAATCCCTCTGTGGTATTCAAGAGTATCGTGATGGTGGGCTCAGTAAAGTGACTTTGGGCATAGGATTACTTTAATGTTTCTACAGATATGACATCCATAGAAAAGTTTAAATAAAACTCTTACTGCTATTTCAAGTTCTTAGAGGGCAAACATTCAAGAAGGTTATAGCTACTGAATGGGATAAACATTGGTAGTCATATGATGGATCCTCTTGTATTAAGGTAAGTTTCCAATAACTCTGGAAATTCTACCCAGTTTCTATACCAGCATTATTTCTTCCCATAGCAGTCATATTTTCCTGGGAATCTTTTCCTCTGGTCTCAAGACTCCCTATCTCAAGCAAGTCCATAATCTACCACGACCTAAAAAATTCTTCATTTGTATTCCCTGCTCTAGTTTAAAACTTGTCACAGGCTTCACCTGACTACAAAGAGAAATGATACTTTTTAATTTTTTTTTTGAAAATAAAAAAGGTGGATGTGTGCATGCAAGACAACGCGTTGTTATTCCAGCAGCGGTATCATTGTCCTTGCTCCTGTATCCTGCTGTCACACACCACACCATAATCAAGAATGAAGTGGTGCTATGCTCCAGTCTATGCTACTGTAGAGACAAATGCAAAATGCATTTCTTTGCCATTGACCGCGATGTGGCACACCGCAAGAGCTCGCAAAACAGGTTGCTGTTCCCAGACCTCTGCACACGGGGGCAGAACTGGATCTTCTATGAGAACATGAATTCAATTTACAGCAAGCAAAGCCCCTGCTCTAAGCCGCACTCATCTAATATTTCTCCTTGTAGTTCAGCTATCTGATTGCTGCCTGCATATCTCCAGTCTTTTAAGCATAGATGATATCACAGGCAAGGGTGTCTGGAATAATTTGACTGTCTGGGAGCTGCATACTAACAGCAAAAGGCTGAGGATCTGGCCCTGCACATCCCAATCCCTCAGCGAATCTCAGCTCTGCCTCACTGCAATAGCTCTGACACAGCCAGCCCCCAAAACGACGTCTCCAAGTAATTTTCTTTTAAAACATCATTTTATTTTTCTCCTCATCAAGAAAGAACGTACTAACAAACCATTTATCCTGAATGAAGCCTCAGAGAGAAACTGCATTAACAGAAAGGTCTAGACTGGCCTGAGGTATATTTTGGCCAGCAACAAGTAGAACAATATGTTAAAACAGAAGCATTGATATAAAATAGAACAGAACAAAATAACCACATGCAACGTGTTAATCAGGTTGTGGGGTAATTGAATGGCATTTCCTAAATTCACAAACATCAGATAATGACATAAAGTGCCGAGGTACTGCTTAAAGAATTGTACCATAAAATACCTCGGCAGGCAGACAATGTTTCCTGCCTTGAATTTCCTGGAGGGAGAGTTAGATTAGTAATGGTGAGAGGATTTTGTGTTGTTGTGGCAGGATTTTATTGAGCAGCAACAAAAAAATTCTTTCCAGCGAGGCACCCATAAAAGAGGACTGTCTTCCTCTCCATCCTAAGAAGTTGCCCCCGCTGGGGCAGGGGGTCTGGGGTGCCGCTGGGGTCCTGCTCTGCCCTCAGTTACTCCCGAGTAATGCTGTGTAATTCCGCACCAGGGTGGAGGATTTGTCCCCATTCATTTCTACTCACAGTTTCCCCTCAATTGCCTGGTGGATTTTCCTGTTTAGCGGACATGGCACCTGGAAGATGCTCTCTGAGGACCACGGGGATCTTGAGCACGATCGGGAGTTCCGCTTGTCTCCAAGGCATCATGGCTCCTGGGGGGCCATCCTCATCCTCTCTGCTGCTTCCCAGGAAAGAAAAGAAGCGCTGGAGCAGGTGTTCTCTTACCCCTGACTCCCTCGCTCGGTGGAGGGGGACAGGAAGGAACATGAAGCCCCTGAGCCACGCAGCCCCGACACTACCTCCCAGAGCCTCAATTTGTCTTGGTCCTACGAAATTGCATCTGACACTGAAATGCCTTCCCGCACACAGACCTCCCTCTCACAGGAGGGACATTCCAGCCCCGGGAAGGGACTTGGCACTAAATGGTTGCAGAGAGTCATGTCTTTTGGAAATACATTGTCTCCCTTCAGAGAGCTGCTCTCTCCAGTCTCTGGAAAGTGACACGTTGTCACTAAGATCATTAACTATTTGGCTGTGTGACTGCTGCCTGTACAGCATGCCACACTGCCAGTGCTTCGCTGTTAATGAATAATAAATTAACGCTATGACTCTGAGCCCTTCCTTTCATCAGCTGAGATTTCCAGAGGCCGAAGAATCTCAAAGGATCCTCTACGAGCAACAGTCAACGTAATTACCTACAAGCAGCAGCTAAGTGGTGGGTGAGGTGCCGAAACGGGCTGCGGTAGTGATTGCTAGCAGTCCTCCAAACATCAGGTCTGTTAGGACTGCCTGCCTGCCCATTGGTTTTCTGCAGTACCCCACAGCCATGATCGTTGCAAACACGAACATGGGCAGCCAGGTATCTGCCTGCCCAGGGAATACATCCTGTCCTGTTGCTTTGGGAAGCAGAGCTGATTGCAAAAGGGCTTCTCTCACCTAAGGGTGGGTTTCCAATTCTGCTTACAAGGGGAAGAGATGCAGCTGGGAACTGCCCTTCTTCACCACTTCTCTTCTGGGCGTAAGAAATTGGGGATAACCCTGGAAACTAAACCAGGAACGAGCAGCTCCTGGTGCCAGCAAACCCTCTGTGCCTTCCTTGCTTTTGCAGAGCAGCCACAAAACACCCCCCAGCTGCAACAGTCTTGGGACTGCCTCTAATTATGTGTATGTTCGGGTTTGCCTGGGGCCGCTTCATGCTGCCAAAGTCTCCCATACAGTAATGCAGGGGTGAGGCCGCAGGTATCTGACAGCAGCGGTGAGGGAGGCAGACAGTTGCTCTCACCCAAGCAGAGTGTCTGTCCAGGATGCCCTTAGTGGAATAAATCGATTGGAGCATTGCATCAGGATGCATCTCCAGACCTGGTTTTCTTTTGGAAAACTGGTTGAAGGCAGATGCCCTCAAGATCTACCCATTGCCTTTGCAGTTGGGGTTGATTTCTTTGTAGAGCAGAACAACATATTCCCTCTCCCTGTAATTTGCCCATTAATACCCGCACCCCAGCATTGTTGCAGTGATGTAATCATGCAACATCTTAGGTAAAAACAGAATGAGACATATTATTAAAGCAAGACATAAATGCTGATGGCTTTTTTTATTAAGCAGAGGTTTCAAGATTCATCAGGAGCTTTCAAGATTCAGGACAAGGCTTTAGGGGAGCATCTGCCATAGGGAACATTGCGAGGGAGGACTCCTCTTTCTGAGCTGAAGCCTGCTGAGAAGTTAACACTCTTGAAGACGTATCAAGCGAAGAGTCCGACGGCTTCTCCTGCAGATAAAGAAGTCAGTACCTCAGAGCAGAATATCTGGGCTTTTACTGTTTGTCTCTCTCTCTGGTGAAGGATATATCATACAGGAACTTAAAACAGAAAACTTCTGAACACTCTTACAGCTATTTCTTTTTATTACTAACATTCAAAGACAAGATAAAGACTTGATTTAAAGGAAGAATTAATAGTTTGTAGGAAATAATAGACTTTGTTTGCTGGAAGAAAGCTCTTCAGCAAATTACTTAAGAGGGAAATGAAGAACTCTACTAAATGTTACCTCTCTATGCCTGAAAGAAAGGAATTCCTGGCAAATTCTTCCTATAAAAAAATTGACCCTTGCTAGTAAGAGAACAGGCAAACACAAAATAAAAGAACTTTACTTCTCCAACCAGTTGCCAAGACTGATTAGTTAGTTTAAGCTAAGTTAGTTCGCCATTTAGTTACTGAAGAGATTTATTTTCATACGTACAGGAACGCATTGCAGAATAAGCATTTATTGCCATATGTTATGCCATCAGACCCACAGTGTGGGACGTACTCCATAGTACAGACATCTCGGGGAACCAGCTGGTCACTGCAGTAGCCCTGTAGATAGATGCAATATATGGTCACAAAAAAGCTCTCAACAACAGATATGTTAGAAAGGTAACACTAGGAGACCCTACACACACCCTGAGGTCCCCCCAGTACTGGCCAGCAGCAGATGCTGAGAAAAAGCCCAGGGACAGGGCAAGAGTACGGTGGTTTGTTGCCTCCAGCGATGCAGAGCCTGTGTAACCATTGTAAATGCTGCTGCAGTAACTCTGAGAATAACTTGGACACGAACTGAATACTGCACTACTTGTTGAAACTATCATCAGATGAAAATGGCAATTTCATCCAATAATATCTGTGGCAAACATTGTTCAGACAGCTGGATGACTCAGGATTTTCAAATGCTTGATCACAATGTGATTAGTAAGGATTTATACAGAAACTGCTTTAAGGAAAGAAACGATGGAAAATAGAAAGGTCTCTCACCTGCAGTGCATCAGTATCTGGAAAAAAAGAAAAAAAGAAGGAAATATGATACAAGTGCAATTCATGGGTTCTGTTAGGGGAAAAAAAAACTGTGAATGCATGCTCTGAATCTGCAACTTCCAATTCAGTGTTTGTTAGCGTATGACTTCTTAGACAAAGGGAATTTCAGGCAAAATTTTGTAGCATAGGGTATGTTTACAAGATTCATTCTGTAGTATAATTTTTTTTTATGAGGGTCACAACCAAGATGAAAAAGGGCATACAAAATGAAAGAAGAAAAATGCATTTTCCATGGTTCAAATGATAGAACGGGACATGTACTCAAAGCTAAGCAAGTTATTGAGGCAAACAGGGTCATAAAGCCGGCAAGTACGCAGAGGCAGCATCTTGTATGCATTGCCACAATAGCTCTTAAATAAGAGGAGTATTTAGTGAGGCGTAACTTTTAAAAAGCTTCTACAACTGTTCAGGCTCTCGAATTGCGTCTCAGTTCAGGATGACTACAAGAAATGTTCGCTTTCATTCAGTAAAATAATTTGTGTTTCTGCAACATTTCAGAGGTTAAATACTGGATGCCTGAGTCTCTGGGTTGTACCACGTACATGTCACTTCTTTCATTATGCATAAACTAGCGCTGAGAGTAGAGCTGTTCCCACAGTTGTTCTTACCCACTCAGTTCTGTTGCTAAAATATTACCCCATAAGTGATAGTCTTTGATGTCAAGTCTTTTCAACACTATCTTTCTAGGAGTAAATAAGTCCTTGTAGAATGAAGCTCTTTCCAGTCTGAGGATGTTTTTGTGGTTTTAAAGACAGTCAGCGCTTACTCAAAGGCAGAGCAGGAGGCAGTAAAGCTACTCACCTGGGATGCAGCAAAGGGCTAGAGCCAACAGCAGCAACACGCCTGTCGTCTTCATGGTGCCTGAAGGATCTGTGTGCAGCGGAGCCTGTGTTTTCCTCAGTAAACACAGCCTTAATTCTGCCCTCAGGTGGCAACCGTGCTTATATGTACGCACGCCTGTTTGTTTTGTGCGTGTGTACGTGTGTGTCTGCATTCGCATCTGGCTTATCCACCCTTATTCTGAAGTAACATTCCCGGACTTTTGTCGCGGTGGCAATCTCGACAGAGGTAAGCTGTGCTGTTTAGCCAGGAAGAATGCTGCTTCATCAACAGGAGTCACAAGAACTTTAGATATGTTAGATACACGCTCTGTGTCATTATTTCAAGTGAAATATGTGAAAGGTTCCTTCTGAAGGACCACAGAAAATTCCTGCGGGCAAAAGAGCAACTGTACAAATCTAAGCAGCAACTGCTGCTAGATTTTTCTCTGTGTGCACCTATCAGCGCCTATTTACGTGCAGTGCTTTTTCACGAGCAAAATGCTGAATGAACTGCTTCCAGAATGGAATGTCTCTACTTTTATTTTCATGCTTCATCCCAATAAAGGACACTATATATGCATTAAGTTATAGTGAAACCAGGAAAGCAGCGAACTGGGAAGGCAAGCAAGAGGGTGTCCCAGACACTAAAGGGAATCCTTGGACTGGACAAGAGATGGAGCAACTTTTGTGGGCTTATGCAAAGAATTTACAATTGTTATTTCCCCTAAAAGCCATTAGCATCGTGGGTTAGGTTTGCAGTAACGGACTGATAGTCTGATGATGACAGAATGATGTGAGACCCTAGCCTGGATCCTAGAAAAGTTGAACCCAATCTGTAAATCACTGCTTCATCCATCTGCCCATCTCAAATTAAATCCTTTTTTTTACCACCAAAGCATCACTTTTTTGGACAACCTCATTCCATTAAGGAAAACAAGCACCTCCCTCCCTTTGGCTCCCAGAAGAAATGCATATGGGAGATATTACTTTTTACAAGGGATATGCCCAATTTATTTATGTATCTCTTGTGTGGATCAAAAACCCACCAATTCACTACTCCAACAGAGGACAAAAGCAAAATAAATTTCATGGACAATACGCCAATGACAGAACACACTCTCAAAAGAAGGATACTTTGTCCTTGGATTGTGAAACACTGCTGAAATACTCCTTGGGCTGGCAAAGAGTATTATGTTATTAAAGACTAAGAGAGAAGACAAGTAGGCAGGAGTAGGAACCATCCCTAGGAGGGCATTTATCTTAAAATGCAGGTCGTTAAAGGATGATGTCAAGATGAGAAAAACCTAGAAATAAGTCATTTGGAGGACCTAGACAGACAGGCAGGGCTCACTTATGTGTCTGAAAAGTATGGGCTTTGCTAACAGATTGCCCCTGCAGAGTGCTGCGCTTCAGGTGAGGACTGTGCTCGGGAGGCCAGGGATCAGCTCCTGGTGCAGACACCACCACGGTCTGAACTGCTTTTGCTGATGACGCCTGCACAGGGAAAGTGCACAAGAAATACCTTAGGAGAGATCAGCTAGTGTCATCACTTCGGAGCGGTACTGCAACCCTTTACAATGTCAAACATCTGTAAGGGTCTGAACACTAATGTAGGCTGACTATCACTTATGCGCAAAGTCACATAGCTCTGAGGTTTATGCATCTGTATTTAATTTTCTGCCTTTTATGAGAGGGAGGGGACCAAGATGTTGTTCTTGTTATATCCCAGAGCTATGAGCACATAACCCATTCAGCCTGGCATCATCATTCAACAAATCAGAAGAACGTGTTTCTTGAGGCAACATATGAAACAAGACAAAGAAATGTTGCTGATTTAGTTTATTGAGAAAGAAAATGAGGAGTGAGCTGAGTTCCCCAGAGGGCGAGATGAACTGAGGTGAGATCTTTAGTTGGGATTTGCCAGTGGGGATCCTGTGGTGAATTCTCTCAGCACTGATACTCAGCATTTTCCGAAATGGCTTAAAGTGAGAGTCCCATTGCTGTCCCTGAAAGCAAGGAGAGGAAAAAATGGATTAGATAGAGTCCTGCCTGCTAAAATCTGTCCTTTTGGTTGGCCCCTAGAGAAGGCGTGAGATAGGATCCTTCCCCAGAGCCAAAGAACTTGCAGACTCAGAGTCCCATTAGCTATTTGATTATTAAGAGATGAGTGAAATGACTTAACCCATTCTTAAAACTGAAAATATTTGGGGGGAAACTGTAATGAACTTCAAATTTCATTTTCCTTGCAACATGCAAGAAAAATTCCATTAAGGTTAATGGTCTTCAAACCGTTCACACTAACAAACCAGACATAGCTCTTTGTATGCTCTAATGAAAAAAATAAATGCTTGGAATGATAGCTGGTATTCTCTCATGCCCCAGATCCCTAATCAACACTGGTCAGCAAACAAGAAAGTGGCAACTGTGCAAACTTGTGCCTATAGGAGGCAACTGATAACACAAACATGATCCATATTTGTACATACACGACTGCATTGCAGAAGTCACACTTATTGCTGTATGTTTTGCTGTCAGAGCCACAGAGAGGCATGTACTCAAGTGAGCAGACAGGTTTAGGGTAGTCACTGCAGTCAACCTGAAAAAAAAAAAATCTAATGTGAGGGATATGAAGGAGTCAGTAGCAGAAAGGCTTGAACCCCAAGCTACAGCTGCAGTGCTAATAATAACAACCTAACTAAAAATAATTAACTCCTTTGCACAATCTGATATAAACTGAGGTGTCAGTTTCACCTATGCCAGAAGAATTTAATAATACAAAAACAGATCAAAATTTCCTGTTTGAAGAGATGTGTATCATAACCCAACCACAGCATCTCTAAGCAGCAGCAGTTCACCTGCTGAACATGCCGTGCTTGTGATCATATTGCACCGTCTTCCCAACCTGGCCAGGAAATTAAATGGAAAAACACTGGTGTCTGGAGAAGTGTAGGTGCTGATGCCTGCATAAGGGTCCAGTATCTCTCCCACAGTCTTAAAAAAGGAAGATCAGCACTTAGCTGGATACTGTGAGAGTGGGATTTTATTTCTTTGTGCAATGGGTGCTACACTTGCTGAGTGGTATCATAGTGCAAAAAATGTATATGGGTCCAGGAAGAGGCTGAGGAATTTAATAGAGGAGAACTCTTTTGAGGCTTACTGACTACATAGAAATGGCACCTAGCTGAGATCCATCACCTGAAAATAGCTGGAGGTTGGAAGAGTAGAAGTCCCATACATACTCACTCTACTCTTACTCTCTCCTACACAATCCTTACTACCCCTGCTAAAAGCGGGGTCTGCATCAAGTCATGGGCTTGATGGACCATTGGTCTGACGCCAAAAGCCATTCGCTGTTCTTATTCTCAGTACTGTCCTGATGGATTATTTCTGCTACTACTCTTTTACTGATCCCTTCCTGTGCGGTCACCCTCTTCCTTTTCCGACATTAGCACAGGTAATGTATATTACATGTGGAGAAAGCAAAATCTTCCCTGTGCTGAAGCACAGCAGCAGTTACACTCCTGTAGGATGCTGCTGGTCTGGGGGCTGCTGCAGACACTGGCCCTGCTTCCCCTGACATCAGCAGGACTGAAACCCGGTCCCTCATCATGCAGTTCACTTACTATAGTAATTTCCTTCTTACATTCACCGTCGTACTTCTTGCCAACACTGGTTCCAGGCTCTCTGGGAAGGGAAGAGACCCGCGTTAGGAAGCTCCACAAGCAACCTGGTCTGCTAAACCCCACATCCCAGCAACGCTGATCAGCCTCAGGTACAACATACGGGGTACAGGAGACACCCAGCTTTGGTTGTGTCCACATGGCTCTAGATACCAGCTGAGGTGGTGTCACAGCCTGCCAGAGTGCTGTTCTATTGCATGATGTGAAGGACAAGGGAGGGTCCAGGGTGTTAGGATGAATGAGTAGCTAAGTTGTGTGACAATGTAGATGGTTAGTTGGTGTCCTCTGCAAGGCGGCATCTGCCACACAGACCCTTTTAACTTAGTTAAGAGAAGCATTCCGTCCTGTGCTAGATCCCCACCCAGCCCTCTAGTCTCTGTAGATTAAAAGCACAGTTTTCCTTCTAATCACAAAGCAAAACAGGGCCTAGTTCCAGGAAGGAGGAGGGTCAAAGTCCAAGATCCTTACAGAAAAGGCCTTGGTAGAAGTCCTGATATTCAGAAGAGGAGCTGCCAAGAGGGCTGAGCACTCATTGTCCCTCACAGGAAAGCTCTGCACACCCAGTACTCACAGGGTATGGGCACACAGCAGGCACTCGTTGTCGTAGGTGATCCCGTCAGTACCGCAGATGGGGCTGAGGTCTTTGTTGCAGAGCAACACCGCTTTTCCTTCCTCATTTGTTGTGTTGGGATATCTACTGCAGTCCACCTGTTGAGGGAACATGCAACAAAGCACTGGTGAAGGCTTACTTACAGGAAACAAGTAGATCTGGTGAGTCTGTTTGGCCACCTAGAATACTACCACAGCAGGAAAAATGTTTTTTTGTGTGTCACTATGATGACAGTTCACTTGAAGATGACCAATGCAAGATTCTGACATCCCATATGTCCTCTTATTTAGTGTGTGAATTATTTCTTGGGGCAGTCAATAAGCAGCTTTGGCCACTCAGAAGCTGGACATGCCCCTTGTTTTGCCCTTGGTTTCACTTACAGGGACAACTTCCTTGCATTCTCCATCGTGATCTTTGCTGACATTGGTTCCATATTCTCTGGAGAGAGAAAGACAAATGTTAGGAAGTTCAGCAAAGACGTCTTGCTACATCCTAGGTGCTGGAAATATGTAACTAATACAAAGGAAAGCTGACTCTCTATCTGTCAGGCTTATATATATATGTATATTTTGAGAAGGTAGTGCCATCCTCCCTGACCAGCTAGCACTGAGTGGCTGGCAGAGATGTAAAGACCCTGAGAGCTTTAGGACCATTTGGGATGGTTCAGAGCAGACCATCTCTCCATCTTTTTGCTCTGCTTTGCTGTGATAAGATGTCCCCTAGGGGTTGTCATCTGGCTGATCCT